TGACCTCGGCCGCGCGGCCTTGGCGGGGTCACTGACCTCGGCCGCGCGGCCTTGACGGGGCACTGACCTCGGCCGCGCGGCCTTGGTGGGGGGGTCACTGACCTTGGCCGCGGCGGTGTTACTGACTTCGGTCACGTGATTACGATATATATATATATACATATATGCGTATGTGTGTATTATATATAGATATAGAATATTACATATAATATATATAATATTCTCTTTTTTACCCTTTTCCGTGTCACGTGTTGTTTTTCCACTTCTCTCTCTCACTATTTTTTGAGTTTGATTTTCATGCGTTATTTCTGACACTTCTCATATGTGTATTATATGGTTTATAAGACGTATATACTTTTGTTATCGCGGTGACATGTGTTCACTGACAACACGTTAAATAAAAATAACAATAGCGTGCGCCTGTGTTGTGCTAGTATTGTAAATAATGTTATAGTCAATATTTAAGTTTTTGAAATTTATTTAAAAAACAGATGTATTTTTACAGTAATATATATACAAAAGTATTGTGTTTACACTTAAAGTCTACATTGTAAGATAAGTCTACATTGTAAGAATATTCACAATAATGTATACTTTAACTTTTTTTATTCTTCATTGTATCTAACGTTGACTGTAAGTCAAGCAATTCTTTGTCCGGTACATATCGTTTCTTTTCATATTCGGGATCAAAAATGTCAACATTTAAGATAACACCTTGTGGCAAAGCTGCTTCCAATACTCTAACCAACACTGAACATTTTGTAGAAGGTACATCAGATATTTGTACATTTCTCTCATAAACTTTAAGATTGTATTCAGCTGCTATTGCAGCTGTTCCCATTTTAAATCTCTGAATTTTGAATGTTTCAGGTGGTAATGGCCAACTAGAGAAAGAAAGAGAGAAAAAGTGATTATTATTTAAAAGTTAAGAAAATTATTGAAAAATAAATGAAAAAATGTATAAATATATACCTGTCATCTATGTCAATCTGCATAATATCTGCTATTTTATGTATGAAACTTTGATAGGATTCCAGCTCAGGATAATTGTAGCCTTTAATTTGTACATTTAACGTGGAGACAAGTGGAATTTTCGATTTTCCTGTCTATAAAAATCAGAGAAAATTAAATTTATAATCAACAATTTTTTTCACAAATTGTTCATATCTAACCTGTAAATAATCAGGCTCGAACAAACTTCCAGTATAGACTTTAGCTGATTGACTTGCTTTTGGGATAAGTAAACGTTGTCCAAGCATTCTAATCTAAAATGACACAATCCTATATACGTTAATTATAATAAAATAAATAATAAAAACAATTTGTATAGTTATGTAGGTTATTTTTATACGTAAATTGTAAGCGTGATGGCTGAAAATGTGACATACCTGTTTGATCATATTTAAAGCCATTTCTTGTAAATTATTAAGTGACCAATTTATTGATTTCAAGCAAAATTGGTAAAATTCTCTTTGTTTACGAAAGTTGTCACGCGAGTTTGGTAATTTTGTTTCGAGAGATCAGCTGATTATATAAAACAACCTATTTGACATTCCGTCCAACTTCCAACGCATGTCGCTTCTGTAGCGTCAATTCCCTGAGCAAAGACCTCTGAGATTCCTGTCTGTGTGCGATAGTGCTTAATTATTTATCAACATTCCTTTTTTTATCAACAATAATATCCTACAACAAATGTTAACAATTGTTATATAATTTACTACGAAAATTATGGATATCGAAACGGAAAATGTAATAAATCTGGTATTTCCTGGAGGTATTCCAGGTTGGTTTGAGTGTTTGATAATTAAATAAAATAAAATTATCAATATGTATTCGCAACAATACATTTATATCTTTTGTGTAACTAATTTAGCAATTTGTTTCCAGAATTGTGGAAAGAGAATCCTGAATTTTATCAATATCTCTCAAAACTTGGTGGCTTTGATGTAGATCAACTAAGTAAGACTGCTTTTTCAGTTATTTTTATGTTTTTAATGATTAAAAAACAGTTTCTTTACATTTTACATTATATTACAATTTTTGTTTAGGTAAAGAACCTGATCACTTGTCTGACGAGAAAAATGCAGTGCTTCAAACTACACAGGAGTTAGTTTTTGCAAATTACAAAACCTTTATTCAAACAGCAGAAAGTTCACGAGAGATACTCAATCATGTAAGAAACACACGAAGACTTAAGAAGTGTAAATCTCTCCAAAATGAACTTACTGACAAATACATTATTGCATTGCTTTGATTTTAGTTCAATGAGACTGAGAGCCGTCTCGACAAGCTTGTACAAAAGATTCCGGAATTCGTGGAGAAGTGTCAATCGTTTTGCGACACTTCGAAAGATATTAACGCGCATCGAAGATTGAACAGTTTGACGTTAACACGAAATGCGGAGTTACTCGAAATTCTTGAAATGCCCCAATTAATGGAATCCTGTTTGAGGAGCAACCAATACAACGAAGCGCTGGAGTTGTCTCAATACGCTCGTCAATTAGGAATGAAACACGGAGACATTCCGATTATATCGGTACAAATTCAGCGGTTTAAAAGTTTTGACAAATCTATGTCGTAATAACTTTAGCGATGTAATTTTTCACTAATATTTCAGTCTATAGTAGCAGAGATCGAAAGCAGCTGGTCAGGGATGGTGGGACAAGTAGTTGGCTCTCTGAGAGGGGATCTACCGCTTCCAAGATGCTTACAACTTGTAGGTTTGCTACGATCCATGGACGCATTTACGGAATCGGAGCTTCGTATAAAGTTCCTTCAGGCGAGAGACAGCTGGCTCCAAAGCTTGCTAAATGCCATACCTAAAGAAGATCGTAAGACAGTTTTTTTTTTTTGACATTTTAGTAAATCACATAATCAAGAAAATTGAATACATTGATTTTTAACGTTTGCAGCTAATCTTCACATAGCCAAAACGATAGAACTCTCCAGGATACATTTGTTTAACATAATAACTCAGTACAAAGCTATGTTTAACGACGATGAATTAACAATTCCCGGCCGCGACTTGACGCTAAATGAGTCCGCAATATTTTATCATTGGTTGGAAGAAAAGGTAGATTTTTGTGAAACGGATGTAATATAGACAAAGGTAGCAACAAGATCAAGTAGACCTCTAGGCCTTTTAATTTTTGTGTTTCTGTAGCTCATTGTAACGAGATAGACTTCAAACTTCATGTGTTTTACAATTTCTCTTTTAGATATCGCAATTCCTTGTTACGTTAGAACAAGATTTACCTGGAGTAACGTCTATAGATTCCATTTTGGGTCAGTGTACGTATTTTGGATTATCGTTTGGTCGAGTGGGCGTCGATTTTACTGGTCGAATGTCGGATATATTTGTACGCGTTATCGGTGAAAAGTTCGAACAGAATGTTCGTCGAACGACCAGGAAATTTGAGAAAGACATGGAAACGTTTACGCTGATTAATAAAACACAACGACTCGATATAAAAACCGAGATCTCCATTAATGCTGTGAGTGTGTAAAAAATATATACGTGCCATATAATGATTTTATTTACACAGATTTGTAACATGCGCATCTTTGCAATTGACTTATAGGAGAATCCACCCGAACAACTAGTAGAATTCTATCCTTTGGCCGAATATTGCAATGGAATAATAACAGCATTCAACGAGTTGAGACTCTGCTCACCAGTTGCACTTTCTACCTTATGTACAAAACTACTGCAAGAGTCTTTGCGTAGTGTGGCGAAGGCCATGCTGGTATTTTACAAGCAAGAACAACAAGTGAGTTTTTACATATCGCCGTGTATATATAAATTTCTATCTTCAAATTAGATGATTTCGTAAAGGTGAAATAAATAAAACTTACAGGCTTTCGCGGCCGCCGAGCGAGAAAACATGAGCAAATTTACAGAATGTTTGAGCGAGCAATTGATTCCCTACATACAATGTTGCATACACGCGATCTTTCCACCCGCTCAAATCGCGATGCATTTAGGAATATCAATTGGTGCGCTCCAGAAAGAAGTGCGTATATATTGTGAAGCGCATATATAGCGAAGAAACACGTGTAAAAGTTTTTAACTAATTAATAAATTTACAGGAAATTACATACTTGAATAAGCATAGTATACTAGAACCTGTGACTGCACTTCTACCCGTTAAAAAAGACACTTTCATTTCAACATTGCCTAATATGCAGTCATTAACGTCTCCGCCGGTAGAAGCTGTGAATGCTCTCTCGAAAAAAGCTACTGCAGTTAAAACAGAGGAACCAGGAAAAGAAAAAGAAATTGATCAACAAAGAGCATTATCAAAAAGCAATGTACAAAATTCGCAAAATGTCAATGATGTAAATCGAAGTATGTAATCATAAGCTTAGACCAAATCTTCCTTTCTGAGGCGGGAGATTGGCTTAGTGTCAATGCTGACGTAATAACACTATACCGATCGACATCAGATTCGAATCTCGCCGTCTCACTTCTAGGTGGTTCGAAGTCTACCTTTCAAAATTGTAAGTCCATGAGAAAGAGTACAGAAGAATATAAGGAAAAAAAACAAAGGCTTTCTGTTTTATATCACAACAAATAAATAAATTTTTTCGACTGCAAACCCATGTTTATTGAAAATAAAAATGCATACACAGAGTAATTAGGCTCTAATGGGGATGTCGAAAATATATATGAAAGGTTCGGATGTAAAACGAGTAACATGAAACTTATCAACTTATCCTGTCTTATCCTTTCATTTACACCCGAACCTAATTTACATGAGTATCTTTCACTTATTCTTTCATAGATTCTTCTGTGACTTGGCTGGGCTGCGCAGTCTCGTGTCCATCTTTTTTCTTTTTAATACCAGAGACAATATCGTCGATTCTTAGAAGCAAAATAGCTGTCTCGACTGCTGTTTTGTACGTCTGTAACTTTACAGACAATGGTTCCCAAATACCATATTCTTTCATGTCAACTAATTTACCCGTTTCCCCGTCAATTCCCCAAGTGGTTCCTTCAGTTGCATGCTTCGCACGTAATCCCGTCAAAGTTCTAATAGTATTTGCACCGCAATTTTGCGCCAACGTTCTGGGAATAATTTCCAAGGCCTGTGCGATCGCCTTGTACGGCCATTGTTCAACACTGGCAAGACCAGCTGCCTTTTCTGTTAAGAGTCTCGATACCGCCATTTCGACCGCTCCACCGCCTATAATAAAAAGAATACGATAAGAAGTGTGTTCCACATCAATATTGCTGTGGAAGATAAGACAATATTAGATTTTTATTTTACCTGGTACAAGTTTCGGATCGATAAGAAGATTTCTCGCCACGTGCAACGCATCTTGCAGATTTCTCTCAGTTTCATTTAAAATATCCTTACTAGCTCCTCTCAGAATGATGGTGCAGGCTTTAGGATCTTTGCATTCCGTAATAAAACAGAAATAATCGTCACCGAGCTTCTTGATTTCGAAAAGACCAGCTCTTGTGCCGACATCTTCCTCCTTTAATTCCTCAGTGCGATTGACAACAGTGGCGCCGCAAGCACGAGCAATTCTGTTGATATCGCTTTTTCGTAATCTGCGTATTGCCGAAATGCCGGCTTTAACGAGAAAATGCTGCGCCAAGTCGGATATACCCTTTTCTGTTATCACGACATCTGGTTTTACTGAAATAACTTCTTCACAAACTTTCTTTACATGTTCTTCCTCCAGTTCCAGAATCTTCGTGAAATCAGCTTCGTTCATTATCTCAATGTTTGTCTGAGATTCACCTTTTTTGTATTCCAATGGACAATCCAGTAGTACTATTCTTGGATTTTTTATGTAACGTCTCATTTTTGGATGTGTCACGTCCTTGTTAATCATCACACCCTTAAGAACAACACTGTCCTCCATCGTGGCACCTGGTATTTTCTCCACTTTGGCGTAACGTTTGATGTCAATCTCTCGCCTGCCGTTTTCTTCAAGCATCACCGTATAAACGGCATCTAGCGCAATCTGACACGCCAATTCTGACCAGCGTCTGATAAATTTCGTACCGATACATGAGTTTATCACCTGGATCATTTTGTTCCTGTCATTGCAATCTAGTTCAATACTGACTTGGTCATTCAGAATTGTAATCATATCTTCCAGAGCTTGACGGTATGCTCTTATAATAACAGTAGGATGCATGTTCTGTTCCAGAAACAGTTCAGCAGTTGCCAACATTTCACCCGCCAGAACAATGACAGATGTTGTTCCATCTCCTACTTCTTCATCTTGAGTTCTAGCAATTTCTATCATGGATTTTGCAGCTGGATGCTGTACTGTAATTTCTCTAAGAATAGCATTGCCATCATTGGTCATAACAATTCCACCCATCGGATCCATCAGCATTTTCAACCTAGCTTGCGGGCCCACACATGTTCTAATGACATCAGCAATAGCCTTTGTACAAAAGTGGTAAAAAAGATAAAGTTCAATTATTTCGATAATTATTTCTCAAACATAATAACAAATTCAAGTTTTATATTTTCTTTTAATACCTATATTTAACATTGCATATATTTCAGATAAAAAAAAAACTGGAAATGAAGATGACGCTACATTTACGATATCCTGCTTTCCTTATTGGAAAACGTGCGTAGGCGTGTCAGCACATGTGAGTGAATCAACACCTTATAAAGTCAAATCGCAATTTTATAATAAATACTTTAGATGCTCACCTTGCCTGCTTGGATATTTTCCCTTTGTACTTTCCTACCGGAATCCCTTTTCGTGTTCGGGCCTGCAATGATCAAGATATTCGACATGGTTAGAGAGACAAATATATTCGAGTTGCTAACAAACGACAGTCGCAAAGTGTGCTTTCAACTTACTCAGTACCAGAACGGTATTTGGAGTGGATCCAAACATTATGTTTATAATTTTTTTCTGTTTTCACTGAAAGAGACCAGTATAACACAAGATATCCTTTAAAAGCGTGAGAAGGGTTAGGCTCTCTCGTTAATGGCGAAGTCAAGAATCATCAAGGCTGCGGTCCGTTTCATGCTTAATCGCGCATTTATCTGTAGTATACGTCACGTATACTATAGATAAATGTGAGCTTAAGTATGACACAGACCGCAGCCCAAGAATACTTCTAGAAACACACTATATATGTATAAGCGGCAATCCGGTTGGTGTTCGGTTTGATGCACTTGTGATTCTTGGACCGTAAAAGTTAGTCCATACGCCATTCACTGGCAAGATATATAAACGGCAATTCATTACTCACGGCCGATTTCTTCATACCTTTCAATAGCTATCTTCTGGATAAATTCCTCTGAGAACCAATAAGGAGAACCAATTTTGGGAGATATCTTCTAGATAAAGTTATCGAAAACTTATCTAGAAGTGAAAAAATTGGCTGACAGTCGACATAAGTCTACACAAGAGTCATTCTGTCTTTGTTTCTCACTGAATACTGAACGAAGACAGAATGACTTTTGTGTCGACTTGTGTCGACTGTGACTCCTAAAAGGAAAGCAGCCTTTATGTGCGTACCTTCACCACTTTGGTGCTCTCGGTGCTGTCACCGTGCAGTACTGAAATCTATAGCTCACGTTGCGTATATTATAGATTCTAGTACCGGCACGTGTTTGCGTTCCAAACATCTTTTTTAACCAGAACAAATAGAGTTTTGGAACGCAGTCCAAACGCGGTTGGAGGAGAAGAGAATGACGGAATAGAGGGAGAGAATCAGAAGAGAGAATTCATTCCCCTCGCCGCACACGATTCAATGTCTTGATACAAGCAAATGATAACAAACGTAGGTTATTAACGTTTGCGTCCATAACAGCGGGCGAATATTATGCACACAGTGATGGGAAAAGGAGAAACGTAAAAAAATTCTTGGTTAATCATCCATCACCACGATGGAAAGTACGAGCGACAAGTTTTTCTACGTGTATAGTTCTTCATTAGATACCAGAATACAAATTAAAATGTAAGTTTTGTTTCGTACTTTGACTCTGTCATTAAGAGATATCTCGAGTTCAAATAATAAAAGCAGTTATCATCCTTCCCATTACACAACACACAAACATTAATTATACTAACATAAAATAATCGGATCAGACTAATTAATGTGAATGTGTATGTGTTGGATTATTTAGTCTTTATCTGTTGTACCACCACATATGAAAAACTTCTTTAGATGTGATATGCTTACACATTTAGCTTAGTGTGTCATTTGTCTGTTATTTCTTACATTACAGAGGCACATTAGAAGGTAAGAGACAGATGCCGGAATATGATCAACTACTTCGAGATCCTTTGCTCAAGTATTCTGGTTTGTATGAGACTGGTGGAGTCTGTGGAGATTTAGCTGCATCCTTACAAGTGTGGGCTGGTGGCAGGCCACTAGCTCTACCAGTACTTACAGCTTATAAACATTTTACTAAGCGCTGGAAGTAAGTCATCTCCAAATTTCATATTTTACCATTTTATTTGTGTACTTTGCTATTAAACTCTTATGACATGTAGCTGGAATCAGTGGGTCTATCTGCCACTCTCTTACACGGATCTGCCACGTGATGCCCAACTGTGCATAACTCTGTACGATTGTGCAGGACCTGGTAGACAAATACCAGTAGGTGGCACAACTATATCACTCTTTGGAAAACATGGAGTTTATCGACAAGGTATGTTGGATCTCAGAGTATGGCCTGGGGTAGAAGCAGATGGGGGAGTTCCTACTAGTACACCAGGGAAAGCCAGAGATGATGGAAAGGAGCAAATGCAAAGGCTGGCAAAACTTGTTAAAAAACACAGAAATGGGCAGATAAACAAAATTGACTGGCTGGATAGATTAACTTTTAGAGAGATTGAATTGATCAATGAGAAAGAGAAACGAGCATCCGAATATCTATACTTGATGATAGAATTTCCAGAAGTAACAATGGATGGTGTACCGGTATATAATGAGCATTTTAAAATTATTTTTATGCAAAGACATAGAATTATTTCATACGTTTATTTTATTTCGTATTTAATTTATTGTAGTACTCGATTGTGTATTATGAAAAAGATGGTGATGAGGTGTTCCAACATAGATTACAACCAGATGTTGTGACACTTCCTGACTATGAAATTTTACAAGTAAGATTTAATTTTCCTAAATTTGTGTGTGTATACTATATTTTATTATTTTTCTCAAATCATGAAGCAAAAACTCAAATTTTTTTTCAGGAGAATCTTGTAGAAGCAAAACATCATAAATTAGCTCGCAGTTTACGTAGCGGCGGTAATACTCGCGAATTAAAACCTACTTCAACTGTACGAGACGCTTTAAATACCATATTGGGATATCCGCCGACAACTGCGCTTTCTACGGAGGAACAGGATTTGATATGGAAATACAGGTTTTACTTGTCTACTCAGAAAAAAGCATTGACCAAATTTGTAAAATGTGTTAACTGGAAAGTTGCGGGTGAGGAACGTCAAGCCTTGGAGATGCTTGCTATATGGTTGCCACCTGATTCCGAAGACGCCTTAGAACTGCTAGGACCCGCGTTCACTCATCCGGCTATCAGAAGATACGCGATCACCAGACTGAATCAAGCGCCTGATGACGATCTTATGTTATACTTATTGCAATTGGTGCAAGCCTTGAAGTATGAAGATTTCGAAAGCATTAAGGCTGCTTATCAAGCTATGTTGAAGGAAAAAGAAGACGGATTGGAATCAAAAAGTTGGAGTAGTGAAAAATTAGAAAAAGGCGAACGAGAAAAAACGGAAAAGTTAGAAAGAAACGATAAATTAGATAGAGATATAAGAAGTAGCGATTCCATGTCTACTCCGGTCACAACTGTGAGTAGCGCTTCTATTATCATACATATCTTTATTGTTTTTATTATTACACATATGTTATTTTATTTCTAGTCTAGCGAATCGGAAAGTCAATTATCGACAAATCAAGAACCACTGATGGATTTAGCATCGTTCTTAATTACACGAGCTTGTCAAAACTCAATGTTGGCTAATTATTTTTATTGGTATCTGTCTATTGAGTGTGAGGAACAAGCGGATCCTGCAATAAGCGCGAAACAAGATACGCGAGTCAAAGAAATGTATGTCACTGTAATGAAAATGTTTTCCATGACGTTATCGCAGGGAAACGCCGTTTGGCAAAAAAGAAGTGCGTTTCTGTTACGACAGAAAGTGTTCATCGATCAATTGGTATCTCTAGTAAAAGCTGTCGCGCGCGAGAGCGGAAACCGAAAGAAGAAGACCGATAGGTTGAGAACATTACTGACGGATCCGGATCCGGCGTTCAAGATTAATTTCTCGAATTTCGAGCCAATACCTTTTCCTTTAGATCCCGAGATTTGCATCAAAGGAATTATTCCAGAAAAGTATATATTCAAGCTTTTCAATTTATATATTTATATATTGTGTGTATACATAAATTTTATAGAACGTTTATGCTAGAAAAAACCAAAAAAAACTTGTTTTACGCTACTTTTATAGGGCGAGTCTTTTCAAATCGGCGCTGATGCCATCTAAACTTACATTTTTAACAACGGATAATACCGAATACATTGCTATTTTTAAGCACGGAGACGACTTACGACAAGACCAATTAATTTTACAAACAATAGCGCTTATGGATAAATTACTAAGAAGAGAGAATTTAGATTTGAAGTTAACTCCATATAGGTAGTTTTTTTTTATATAAAATGCACCCGCAATATTACGACTATCTTGTGATTCAATAAATTATTCTAGGGTACTCGCAACAAGCACTAAACACGGTTTTGTACAATTTATCGAATCCACAACGGTTGCGGAAGTTCTAGCCAGTGAAGGATCGATATTGAACTTCTTTCGAAAGCATCATCCTTCAGAAACCGGACCTTACGGAGTAGTACCTGAAGTCATGGACACTTATGTCCGTAGTTGCGGTAAGCGCGAATTCGTAATCTCGTAGAATATATACACACAAAAAGAACAACGTTATTTAAATATTAATTTTAAACTATTATAGCTGGCTATTGCATAATAACGTATGTGCTGGGCGTCGGCGATCGTCATTTGGATAATTTATTACTCACAGCATCAGGTATACATACACTTCGCGCGCAATTATGAAGTGATATAAAAAAAAATAATAACAATATCTACTGTACTTTGCAGGCAAACTTTTTCATATCGATTTTGGCTATATTTTGGGCAGAGACCCGAAGCCTTTGCCTCCTCCGATGAAGCTCAGCAAAGAAATGGTCGAAGCGATGGGCGGCGTTGGCTCAGAGCATTATCATGAATTTCGGAAACAGTGCTATACGGCGTTTCTTCATTTGCGAAGACACGCCAATCTGATATTGAATCTGTTCTCGCTTATGGTGGACGCCAGTGTGCCGGATATTGCTCTTGAACCGGATAAAGCTGTGAAAAAGGTTCAAGACAAATTACGACTGGACCTGTCCGATGAAGAAGCTGTGCACTATGTACATAATCTTCTCGACTTGTCAGTCACTGCGGTAATGGCTGTGTTGGTGGAGCAACTTCATAAATTCGCACAATATTGGAGAAAGTAATAAGATGAAATCAATGTACAGCGAAATCACGCAAACTGTGTTCCTTTCTAAAAAATGTTAGACATTATTAATTGTATATACGATGTATTCATATAACAGTATCAATAATATAATAAAAACATAACTTATTGTATAATATTTTGGGGATATTTTAGCTAATAAAACAATCTTTGATAAATAATTTATCATTTTCTGCCCAATACCAATATTTCAGCTAAATTCAACAATATGTGTGAGTTACTCTATATATATTTGATATTTAATTAGAATTTATATACATGTATATGAAATAATTAAATATTAACACAGGACACAATGTGTACTTTAAACAAAAAAATTATAAACGTTACTTATCGCAAAAATAATACAAATTATAAATTTAAAAAATATTGAATCTTTTTTTTCTTTTGTGAGAAAATAGAGGAACGATAAAAACGACATTCACAACATGTAATTTGTTACGTAAATACTATATATTTATTTCTTAATTACAATTGTGTATGTGGGGTGCACACAATAGAAATAAATGTAAATAGACAATATGTTAGTGTCGAAAATATCAAATTGTTATTTAATATATGAAACGCAGAGGAGGCGCTAATTTTATTCACCAATATCACTTTGTCATTTATGAAATAATGAAAATTAATAGATACTTATATTTTATCTATTATATGTATATATATACAGGGTGTCCCAGAATTGCCGTACAATCTTTCGTAGGCAGGTAGAAGGAATAAAACTGAGTCGAAAAGTCCTGAACCATTTTTTTCTATTATTTATAATAAAGGAGTAATTATTGAGTAAATCAGGCCAATCAGCGCAGACCTTTAGCCAGGCACACGTCAGTGAGCGCTCACACACACCAGGCGCGCGGCTCACTGACGTGCGTCTGGCTAAAGGTCTGCGCTGATAGGCCTGATTTACTCAATAATTACTCCTTTATTATAAATAATAGAAAAAAATGGTTCAGGACTTTTCGACTCAGTTTTATTCCTTCTACCTGCCTACGAGAGATTGTACGGCAATTCTGGGACACCCTGTATATACATATATATATATATATATGTATATGAAAAAGTTCTTTCTTTCCTCTTGTAATAGAAAATGTAGCTACATATTGTTTATTCTATTACACGTACTATATCCATATATATACGTGAATTAACGTAATTGTTTTGTTAAATGTAAGATATATCTAAAGAATCAGCATAATTACAGAACATTAACAATTCTCAGTCCGTTCTCGAAGATCTATCAGACTTATTTTACACTCGACGACATAATATATTGCATTCTCACCTGTGTTATTTTATGCAGCAACATGAAAAAATTCACAAGTTGGTTTTACTCTCTGATACATCAACGTAATATGTACATACGTGACCAGAATTAAAAACACCATAAGAAATAAAACCATAGATTTATTCTTGATTATATGTAACATGAGAGACTATAAAGAGAATAATAAAAATAAAAATAATAATAATAATAATATTAATAATAATATTAATAATAATAATGAATTATTATCATTAATATTAGTTGTGTGTGTGTACACTTATTAATTATAATTATTATTATAATCAAATTTTTATATAATTCCTCTTATGATAATATAATTCTGTTTCTAATAAATTTGTCATGTTTGAAAATTGTGTGTATGACTTAAACATGTCTTAAAATTCTAGTGTATTTCTCGCGCGATTATATTTTCTTCACACTTACATACAACAAGCACAGTGGCATAAGTGTCTTTTACACAAAAAAAGTTGCACTAATAATATGCCTCAACAATATCGTAACAATGAAAGATACAACTTTGTGTATAAAAGCATTTACATCACTTTACATAACTTGTTATATGTTCTAAAAACATTGCTCCATTTTCTTAAACGTAATACACTATGTCTCAAACGAAGACTTCACTAGTTTTCGACATGTTTCAAACACGACAAATTTTTTAATGAACTCATACGTTTCCTTTACATCGATCAACTTATTAACATCAAATGCGTATCATGTAAGTGAAATAATAAACATTTGCATATTTCGTATATATATATATATTGTTTTTTTCTATTGTTTTACAATAAACCAAGTAATAATAATAATAATAATAATGTTGATAATAATAATAATAATAATTCTCTCATTTTCCTCAAAGCCTCGCATATCTTTTGTCACGACTCTCGCACAATGATGATCGTTACATCGTTTACACTAAGCAAGCCGAGACATACTGCACAACACTTATCGAAAAATGAAATCTTTAAATGACAGATCGGGAAAAATGTTTTCGCACTTTCACGTACTTAAGAGCAACACATAGCTGACACATTTCAGAAATATTGTGCTCTTTGTTTCAAGGCTAAGTGGGTTACCGAACCAGCTATGAGAGGAGCACCAGAAGAGGGGAAAAAAAAAAAAAAAAAAAAAAAAAAAATAATAATAATAAACTAAACTAGGACATCCTCAATGTTAGTGATATTAAGCTGTGAAATCAGATCAGAAGCAAAACTATTGCTCTGTTTCATAAAATCACACAAATTCATCTCTTATTATAAATGTAATAAACTGCTTATAATTACGACTCGATATCGAAGTAGTAGTGAAATCTTGGGATTCCTCTATTGCTAATAACTTTTTTCTATTTTTTGCAATCAACATAATGTCCACTATTAATTGATCGTATAATTTCTTAAGAATTTTGTATTGTATTGTACAATATTATTTTGTTACACGAATGTTATCACACGATTTTCACCACTGCTCCATTATATAGAAATATAGACAAAAGTCAAAAACCGCCTATTTCACGTAATTTTTATACAACAAAGGCCACAACGCACACAAAAAGTTAAGCAGTAAGACGTAGGCAGTAAGGAAATCGACCAATCATAGAACAACATTCTCTCGAACGCAAGTTAAATTCGAGAGAATATTAGCTTGTGATTGACTGATTTCTTTACTGCTTACGTTTTACTTCTTGAGTTTTTGTATATGTCACGACCTTAAGATTTACTTAAAAACAATCCCGAATTTCCTTCATTTAACTGCAACAGTAACATCTTACTCGGAATACAAAGAAAAAAGATATCAACAAAAATCAGATTCTCTTTCGGGATCATTCAATGACACCAAGTCAACATATTTCTATTCTCTCTCGACATCTCGCTCTCTTTCGATACAAAACGCGATAAAACTCTTGACCAAGAAGGGACTTAGAAGTCATCCAGTGAAATCTGACACTTTGAAAAGTGTTTCGGCTTTACTGCGACGGATCAAATTCAATTCCGCGGTTGTTTTTAAGTTCTACTGTACTACCAAAGAATAATAGTGATATATTCTTGATACAGAACTATCTTGTTTTCCACGAAACACTGACACGACGGCAAAATAAAAATATGCATAACACAACAAAACCATAATCCCTCTATAATATGCATCACGTACAGGATCCTAAAAAACGGATTCGCGATTTTGTTTTTTCGTCTCGACATGCACAAATGCATGTGAATAAATTTATTTGTACGTAAGGGCTTAGCGGTAAAATGTAAGACTAAATTTCATCTTAAAGTCTAAGCGTTTGTCTTAATATTATAATCATCTTAACATTATATTTACATCTGAAAATAGATTCAAGTGTTTGTATTTTTTTTGCGGTTGTACAGCCAAGTACAGCCTATTTCAAGTGGGGACTCTCATCATTGCCACAGCCCCCTGCAATATATTACCTGTCCATAGATCTGGTAGCTGGTACCGAGCTCTCCACGAGATCGTGCCTCTCGATCGGAGAATTTTCTAGCGTATAATCCGCTGGGTATCCTTCGGAATAGGTTGGAGTAGCCTCACCTTGCTGTCTCAGTCTCAGTTCGCCCGATCTTTCCTGGTAGAAGCTCTGCGACGCTTCAATGTTCGGTGACGAGGACGACTGTTCCGTTTTCCCATCCAGATCATCCGTAGAGTAGTAACTCTGACTCGCTTCGCTTTCGGGTCTGTTGGGATCGTAGTAACCGGGGGAGATACCTTGATTGCTGTAATTGGTCGTTTCCTCGGCTGGCGTGAAGTAACTCTGACTTACTTCCTGTGGATTACCCTCGTAATAACCACCGGGAGTGACATGTTCTTCGTGCGGGTCTTCTTCTAATCGGGAATTGGTGTCCTGATCGACAGACTCGTAGTAACTCTCCGTCACCTCCTGGTGATGAGCGTAATAGCTAGATGGCTCATTGCGATGATGATCGGTACTTTCGGGAACAAAATTCTGTGAACAGGTTTCGTCCAAGCCAGGCATAGAGATTGGCACCTCATACGACGTCGACACGTTCTGCTCGACTATCACCTGGTCCTCATAGCTAGAAGTAGGCACCGAGTCCACGTGATGAGTCGACGTGATGTCGGGATTCAAACTGTACGACGAAGAGGTCGGAATCTCTGGTACTCCGTTGTCACGGATGCTGGTATGCTCTGTGCTGACCGATGTATCTGGAATCACACTGGATGAAGCAATATTAAGCTCTTCGCATGGCGGAATCTCATAAGATGACGTGCTTATTGCGCTTTCCTGATCCTGATCACGCTCTTGATTCTCAGGTGTCTCCGGTACATAAGACGAGCTTGCAGTCTCGTCTTCGTTCAGTCCAGAATTGTTCGTCGATACGGACGACGTGCCAATACCATCAGCGCCGATATCATTAGATTGAGACGGTATGTTGCCCTCTTGACTGATCTCAGCGTCAGTTTCTAGATTCTCTGTCATGTTCTCACTCTTATCGACTTCGTAACTTTGTGTGGGGAAGCTCTGATCGTCGATTGTCTCGTCGGCACAAGGTCGTTCTACATCACTCTGTGCGATTTCGTTAAAAGACTGCGTTGGTGCGTTTATGTTGGTTTCCACCGAAGCTTCGTATGATTGAGAAGCTTCGTTTTTCGAATGTTCAAAGGACTGAGTTGGTGGTTCTGTTACGACAGCTTCTTCATCTACTTCCATTGGTTCATATGTGATCGACTGGGTAGCTTCACCCGACGAGCTCTCTAACTTGTTAGCGGACTGACTGGGTAAATCTACGGAGTCGTTGCTGACGGGAACGTTGAACTGCTCATACTGAGACTGCGACGGTACTTCTTGACTAGTTTCCGTGTTCGTTGCCTCTTCTTCGTCCGCAAAACGCAGTTCCATGCTCTGGCGAAGACGACGTCTGTCCGATTCCTCCTGTGATGACGGCTCATCTATTGTTTCGTCCACTTCCATAGTCGCGTCGCTCGAAGGATTCAATAGAACCTGCGAAGTCGCTTGAACGTCTATTTGGTTCGACGTACCTACTTGTTGTTTAACTTTACTATCGGACTCTTCAGAAAATGTTAGTTGTTTCAGCTTGTCCATTGCATCTGCCTCGTGCAATTCGGCAGTTTTAAGTTCACTCGAATCAGTCACGTCAAAGTTCACTTGTTCCATGGAATTAGATTCGGATCTAACTAGCGTGCTTTCGTCTATTATCGGTAAACTAGTCATTGGCGTGTTGCTCTCCTTGGTGTCACCTTCCGATTCTCGCACAACTTCCATTGTGCTCGACGCGCTACTTTCCTTAACTGATTGTTGTAAAATCAGTTCTTCAGACGTAATAGGAACTTCCTGAGAAGAAAAGACTTGTTGCATCGTTGTGGTTTGCTCCTTGTCCAAGTTCTTTACTTCGTTAGTTGATATAATAGACTTCTGCGGAGATGACGGAACTTCGTGCGAGGAAATCATCTCCGATGTAACCGTGACATCTTGAGACTGCACGTTCTCTGCTGGCGCTTTGGAAACCAGCATCTCTGACACTGGCACATCTACGAACGCTTGGTCGGTGACAATCGTTGTGTTAAATTGTGAATTGTCCGTATAAGCGTCGTCAATGATTGGCATCGACGGAGTTGTTTGCACCTGCGAACTCTCTAGAACTATGTTATTCGACATAGTCACTGTATACGAAGCCGACGGTGTAATTGCAATTTCAGCGCCTTGTACACTCTGCGTCTCCTCCAGATTTGGTATTACTAAGTATTGAGTGCTCACAGGAATTTCCGTGCGTTCGACGATCTCACCGGTCGTTGTTGCCGTCGGATCTTCTATAATCTCACCGATGTCTGGCATCGAATTGCCGGGGATCTGAATCTGTGTCTCACCTGCTGTGGATATGTAGGAAATATTGGGATTCGTGATGGTGATCGGTAATTCGAGAGAGGACGGGATAGTGGAGACTACTGATGTAGATGCCGTCTCTTTTGATTGAATCGAGACGTTGCTCGGCACTTCAAGTGGTGTCATGATTGGCTGATTTAGCGTCAACGATGTCTCTAACACAGATGGCGATGATATTGGTTCCGTAGGTGGAATGATGGTCGATTGCAAAATAGTTTGATTGATTAAACTGGTCTGAGTCAGACCGGTCTGAGTCATAACGCTACCAGTTTGACTTTCTGACAGACTGATCTCTTGTTGAAAGTCTGTGTTCGCGAGAGCAGCCGCCAAAATGTCTTGATTAGATGTTTGAATAACCTCCGATGCAGGGAAACTCTCGGTTATAATTGCAGTTTGACTAGCCTCCGTCACGTTGGTCTGAATATTTGGCAAAATACCGTTGTCAAATTGAAGAACGATATTGTCCAGCGTTCCGGTTTCTCCCAGAGAACTTGGATCTATATACAGAGTTCTCGTGCCATCCGGATTCTGCGTGGTTCCTTCCAGCGACATAAGAGCATTGTTATCAAGTGGTTGTATCTGTCCTTGCTCGTCAATTGTCACCAACACGTAAGTTTGCGTACCGTCGCTGCTTTCCGTCGGTAAAGCCATGATTTGTGGTTGCGTAACCACTTTTGTCTCTTCCACTTTCTCCGTGTCGGCGCTCTTTTCAGGCTGGAACTTCTCAATTTGCTTCTTTTGAGCAGAATCCACAGGTTGCACATTTGTCTTTGCTTTCTTGTCCGCGTCAATTGGCTCTAGAGGAGGCAAAGGTACGGTTGTAGCGATACTCGCAGTTGTCGTAACGGTGCTCATAGAATTCATAGGAACGTTCATTAGATTCTTCTGCGCTTTGCTTGAAGTTTGAGATTTTGCAGGAGACTTTGAAATTGTGGGAGCTTGTTTCGATTGAGCAACCGTCTTGGTGGGAGTTGACATGTTGGTGGAAGTTGCGACAATAGTCTTCGGAAGAATATTTTGCACCGTCGACATCGACTCTTGCGCTTTTTGAGCCGCCATCTTCTGCTGCGCCTTTGTCTGGCGACTGCCAGTTCTAGGAATGATAACTTTTTGCGTAGTCGCAGTCTTGCCTTTCGGCTGTACTTGCTGCATTATCGTCACCGTCGGCTGAGCGCTGCTCGGCGAAGCAATATTCTGAATAGCGGTCGGTTGCACCGTTTGCTTGACAATCTTTTTACTCTGCGGTGTACTCTTCTGAATACCGGCGGCGGGGGAGGCAGTCTGCAAAATTAACGTGCTGCCTGATAATTTTGCGGATGTTCTTCCCTGTGAACCTCCCGCGGTTGTTGTGGCTTTTGGTGACTTCTGCAATATCTGTACTTTATGTTGCACCTGTTGATATTGCACCTTGCCGCTTTTGGTAGGACTCTTGGTAACGATGGTCTTCATCTGTTGTCCGCTTATCGGCGTCAGGATAGTACCTTTGTTGCTGACGATGGTTGGCGTACCTAATATGGTCTTACCAGTAATGGCTTGAGACACCGGTGTCAAAATTGTCTTTGTACCACCTAGACTTTGGCCTTGGGCAGACAAAAGAGTTGTACCCTTAGTGACTAAAGCTTTTGAGCTGATAATTGTCTTACCGCTTATAGCAGTAATTGGTGTGTAAACACCACCTTTTGTAAGAATTCCTTGAGACAACGTACCTAATTTAGTCACGGTGCCTGAAATCGGAGTAAACGTCGTACTGATTATTTTCTGACCAGAGACTAGTTTAGAAGTGGTGGGTGATACAGCGGTGGCAGCGGCTGCGTCACCTTTTGGCGCAATAACTTTCGGTGTCTTCGAAGTGATTATACTGCCTTGCGGACTGATCGGGCACAATAATTGCTGACCTTTACTAGTCACGATTTTTTGCATTTTACCGCTCAGGGTCTTAGAAATATTTACTGGCACCATCTTAGCCTGAGATTGTCCCGATGTCAATATGACGACTTTACCACCTTGCTGAATCAATTGTGCACCGCTCGTTATCGTCTTACTGATATTGGGTGGGAGAATTACCTTCTGTGAAGTACTGGATTTGCTTTGAACAACCTGACGTAATTGCTGCTGACCACTTGCCGTTTGCACGATAACGTATTTGCCTGGAGTAGGACTTTTCTGTGCTAGAACAGGTGTTGTTTTACCGACCGGTTGTGCGCTCTGAAATTTCAAGCCCTTCACACCGCCCGTGAGTGGTGGTACTACTGTCTTGACACTTGTGATAGTCGGTTTCGCTTTGCTCTTACTCTTCAATATTGCTGGCATGCCGCTTTTCTTCTTCGGTGATGGCGATGGTGACGGCTCGGTAGTAGGAGTTTCGTTCACAATCTTAAATTGAGTCTGAGTAGGCGACATTATTTGTGTAGTCGGAGTAAGAGAGAGCGTACTTGGAATCGAACCGGATGCTGGTATAATTGACGATATAACCACTGGCATCTGCTCTATCTGTTCTGGGGTGAGCATGTCATCGCTGAGAACAAATGGCATGGAATTGATGTCGAATTCCATGTCCACGAGATTCTGTGAACTCACTGGCGTGGTCACGATAGTCGTGGGCGTGGTATTTTGTTCCTTGTTCTGAGCATCTAGAAGCGTTTCTACCTCTTCTGTCTTTAATACCTGAAGCTTCTTGGTTATAGGTAACTGCGAACTGGTCACGCTAGATTTTACAGTTTTCACTTTACTATTCGAAGACGAAGTATCTATTTTCATCACTTTTGCCTTAGAAGCGCCTTTCTTTGCGGCATCTATTTCCAGTTTATGTTTTACGCCTTTTTGTGGTGTTTTATCGAGCAACTTTGTCTTCAGGATTTGTACTGGCTCGGTCAAAGTTACATTTTCTATTATACGCGGCATCTCGCGTTTTTTTACGGGCATACTGATATCGGACGATAAGGAAGATATAGGCACGGATGTTTGCGGAGTTTTGTCCAATTTTTTATCATCATTCTTAGTGTTGTCCTCGAGAGATGTACTCGATTGAAGTGATGATTTATTAGATGCGATAGCAAATTCGCTGGGCGATGATCCACCAAGCTGATCAATTGTTAAGACATTATCTCCAATTTTTGTATCGATCTCTACATTCTCCTCGACAACTACCTCCGTATTTTCAATATTGCTCATATCAATCGATAGATTTGACGTATTTCTTTGAATATTTCCTTCGAGTAGAATATTTTCCTCCGCAGGTTGAATAGTTTCAGAAACTTCCAAATCTTTGCTTGATTCATCAAGTTTTGTGCTTTTTGCTGGTGAAGCAGTAACATTAGTATCAGTTTCTTCGGCTTTCTTCTTAGCTGCCCGTTTCTCTCTTCTTCCTTTAGATGTCTCGGTATTTCCAGCAAGTGTTTTCTTGTCTATCTCTAAAGTCTTCAGAAAAGCCTCTTGGAATGTGTTGCTTGGCTTCTCTTCCGAGAACAAATCTTTCCTTCCTTTACCTGTTTCTGGAGTAAATCTACCTTTGTATCTCGTTTGCATAGAAGATTTCTTAGGTATCCCTTGCTCGGGTGTCGTTTTTGTCGGGCTCTTAGATACATTCTTCGCATCGTCTGCTTGAGATATGGTACTTGATGATTTAGCCGGCGATTTTATTTCCGACTGATTAACATCTTTTTTCGGAGTTTCTTTGACCGATTCTATTTCTTGTTTCTTTTCAACCGATTTCTCCGAGGTTTCCTTGAAACTTTCAACGGTCTCTTGCAGTTCATTCTCGGTTTTTGAAGATTTTATTATTTCATCTGTTGTCTTGATTACAGTTTTTACCTCTGGTTGATTTTCTATATTTATTTTTTCTTCGACATCAGTCTTAGCTTCTGGTTGAGGTACAGATACAGGTTCAGGTACAACTTGACGTTCAGGTTCAGCTTCAATTTTGGGTTCCGGATCAATTTTACTTTCAGACTCAGGCTTGGTCTCCATAGCTTGAGTGGTTTGCACATCTGTATCAAGCAACTCTATTTGTGACAATTCAAACTTTTTTATTTGGGATTTTTTCGGTGGTAGCATATCTACGTTGATTTTCGTCGTATCTCGTGGAGTTTCAATCTTATTTGCAATATCCTCAGTTTGCGCTTTGATCGAAGATGTCTCTTGATCATTAATATCTTCTTCATTTTCATTATCTTGTTTTAATATATCTTCTTTGTCTTTCTCATTCACTTTCTCTTCGAAAGTTTTATCTAAATTTAGTTGTACATCTTGCACTTTATTTGCTTCCAGCACTGTCGTTACTTCAGAAAGTGTATTTATATCATCTCTCGCAGCTGCTTTGTTCGGACTCTTTACCGATTCCTCAAGTATATCATGTTTCGTTTCTTCTGATATTTTCTCTTCGGAAAACGTCAACTTCTTAGAAACATTACTCTCGGATGCTCCTTGTTTTATATCAATCGACGAAACATTATTTTGACTATCCGTTTGATACGATACTTCTATTTCTTGTTTGTCCATCTGAACAACAAGTTCGCTGCTACTTTTGGTATCGACGCCTTTTGGACGTCTGCCTCTTTTGGGTTTACTGACAATTTTCTCCTTGACAGTTTCGCTTTCAGATTGACTCTCGTCTGTTCTAAGCGCTTTATAATCAGGGTCTGAAACATATATATCGGATTCCAAGTATTTTTTATTCGGTTTGCGTCTTCTACCGCTGTACGATCGATCCGTGTCGGAGTCTGAAGTCTTTCTCTCGAGTTCGAATCTTTCGCTCATCCGAAATCTCTTATTACTTCTGTTGACTTTTGGACTCTTTTCCACATTAGTATCTCTACTAGTCGACCTCGCATTCTTACGTGGCCGTCCTCGTCCTCGTTTTTTCAATGTCTGACCAGCACGACTTTCTGAGAGTTTGGAGTCGATGCTTCGATCCAACATGTCAATGTCCGAATTTTCGCTCTGTTCAACCATCGTTTCTGCAGATTCGGATACAGTCTCGTCTTCTGTTTCCGTAGTACATCGTTCTGACATAGTATCTTCTGTTTCTTTTGTAGATGTGTCATTAGACTCCGTGATCACGTTTTCTTCCGAGTCAGTTTTTGTGGATTGAAGCAACTTATCGTCAGATTTGATATCCACGGATATTTTATCCTTATTTTTTGTCGTTTTGTCGCTTTTCACTGAGACACTAGGTGAACTTGTAATTTCTTTCTCAGTGTCTTTTGTAACAAGTGAAGCATTATCGCCAATATCGGCATCTTCTCTCTCGACTTCGAATATTTCTACAATCTCCACTTCAGTTTCGCAGGTACTAGACTTCTGTTGATCATTCTCCGATTGTACAAGTTCTTGTTTCTTGTCTGTTTTTTCATCTTCAGCTTTCTTCACTTCTGTTTTATCTTGTACAACTTCATCAAGCTCTTCATTCGCTTTAGTTTCCTTCTTCTCTTGATGAGTATCGGTACCTTGTATTATCTCTATTATTTCATGAGCTTTTAAATCCATGGATTTATCTAATTCAGACATTTTTTCGGCGTTTCTTTTGATTTCGTTTTTCAAAGCTTGACTCATTTCGAACTCCTTGATAATTTCCTTTTTCAGAGATAAACTTTTCTCGCCAAATACTCTGGGAATTTTTCGTACAGGCTGTATGGAAGGCTCGCTCAAATCGTCTTCGTCAAAATCGAAACACGACAGTCGTGATTTCTTATCGTCTTTGTCGGATGCATTTTTGTTCTCACTGTCGGAACTTGAAGCGTCTTTCTTTGGCGGCTTTTTAGTTTCGTTAGACGCATTACTAGAAGTGCCTTTTTCAGAGAGTTTATGTTCAGCCTCAAACTTTCTGTCGAAGCGTATGTTTTTTGAAGTATGCAAATAATCTAATGAATCTCTTATCTTTTTGATCGATAAGTCTTCAGTTTCTTTCAGGAGTTTTTCCGTTTCCGTCATAATTTCATTAGTATCTGCTTTATTATCTTCTTCGTTGTATTCCTTGCTTTCATCGGCGCTCGATATATTTTTCACAGACGAGCTGTTTAAGCTGCTATTTAGGGAACTAGTATTTACATCACCATTTGTATCGTCGTCTAACTCTTCGTCGTCCCAGTCGGCCAATAATTTCTCTTTCAATTTTGGATCAATCTTCTTCTTCTTACTACTTTTCTCACTCTGTTTCTGGCTTTTTCGTTTGCTCGATTCCTCTCCGCTCTCGCTCTTCTTCCTACTCGATTGACTCTTCTCTTTCTTCACATATTTTCGTTTTGGTGTGCTCACATCGGATATTCTACTGTGCGATTGTGAGTATGTTTTTGATTGTGGCGACGGAGATTCGCTTAAGCGATGACTTTTTATGTGACAGATAATTACATTAACGCGTGAAGAGGTAAAACTACAAATATGACAGCGATATACAGAAGAACCCATATTGGGTGATATTGACGGTAAGCTGCCGGGTTGCTGACGAATACGAACCTCATGATCGCTTTCTCCGCGCGAGAAGCGTGGATGTGTGATCTTTTTTATAAGGTCCGAACCGTCACTTCGCCTATGTCCATCTTCTCGATCGCGTCGTTTCTTCGGAATCTTCTTCTCGCCAAATAGTGCAGAGATATCTGGCTTTTCTTCCGGACAGAATTTTTCCTGTCTTAATATGTTAGGGTCACCGCCTGTCAACTTTTCAGCTGTTTCCACATCACCCGGAAATTTGTCCATGTAATTTGCACCATCCTTACTTTTGCTTCGATATTTATCTGTCAAAAATTTAAAAATTCAATTTGGAAAGACAATTGTCAGGAGACAAATTTTAATATCTAAGAAACAAATTGTATCATATTTACCTAATCCCTTTTTAATAAAATCATCTTTTAGGGTACAATTATATTTATAGATTTGTTGATAATTTTTCACAAATTCACTGAAAGAAAAATTAGTTGAGTAATTGTCCTAAATATACTAGACAGTGCAAAATAATTATGTAATAAAACTGAAATTTCTCTAGCTTACTAGGTATCTTCCTGAAAAAATTTCACAGCTGCTATAAGTGGCTTCTTTCGAAACTCAACCTGTATATCCTCTGGCAAATTATGCAATCCAGTAACCTGACCAGGCCACCAGCATGCACCCAGTTTAACCCAGACAACATCTCCATCCAGATAGTTGATTTCTGTTTGCTCACACATCTTGGCAAAGTAATTGATCCAGTTCTTTCATAAAATCAACATTGATAAACAAAGAAATATTGGTAATATTATAGCCCAAACTGTCTGCACGCTAAAATAAAAATTCCCAAGAGTTAGATACAGCAGTGTTACACAATATATCTAAAGTATCTCACGCTTAATTCAAGGATAGATACCTTTACAACTACGTACAACTGTGTGTATATATATATATATATACTATCTAAGCAAAAATGCAGAGTTACATCAACCAAATTAATACATATATGGATTCTATTATAATATTCTTCTCTACTGTTTTGACGATTATTTAGTACTTCATAGATATAAGAGTTGTCGAATACACATTATACATCTGTAGGTTTTATTTGTGAATCATCGAGAAACGTGATAATATGAAAATACACAATCACTGTAAATCACTGGAACTGTTATTGTTTGTATGATGTAATGTTTTCTTGTATCTGCACAACAGCAACACACTGCAACTGTCTTTCAAGCAACTCCTCCTTCTTAATCACAAGCATATTCCTCCACAATAATTACAATAACAATTAGTTCGGAGTTCTCGAACTATATTTAACTTAGCAACAGAATCGACGACACGTACAATTTCACGGTGTATTCATGAAAGAACTGAGAATACGCTCGGAACACGCGTGGTCTGGGTGCTTCAATGCTGACGTTGCTGGCGGCAGCTACGTCGGGCATTTTAGCCCGCGTGACGAGCGCAGTCCGTCTTCGATGTTCCGCGCTGGCGTATATATTTCCAGATCCGGGTGAACCGGCTGGAAACACGATGTACACGCACGAGAACACGCGTGTATACACAAAACGGCAAGGAACCAGTGAGCGTCGTCTCTGGAACGCACAAACGGTGGAAGGCGCGAGCGCGCTCTCTTTCCGTCCGTCCTTCTTTCTCCCCTACGTCTCTCTCACTCGCACGTTCGGTCTTTCTCACGACACCTCGCACCGTTTCTCGCCCGCTTCGCAGCGCACCACCAGGAGGCCGCCAGGAATATCTCGATACGCGATTTCGCGCGCATGCAATCGCCAAGAAGAGCACAGCACCCGTGCTAGGCCGTAACTTGGTAGACACAACGTTTGAAAACGATCTTACGTCGCTCGCGCAACAGACGTACGTACATACTCGGTTACCCGACTTGCAACGGGGCCCCGCACCGTAGATAGATGTGATGGCCGAAGGAATAAACCGTATACTTCTCTCTCTGTCTCGACCGTGTTGCCGCGAGTGCGAGATACTGCAACCGCAGGGTCGCCAACCTCCCGTTACTGGCAAAGCGCGCGCTTTGTTTATCTTCTTCGCTTATTCCGTAGGTGATGACGTTTCTTCTCAGAGATAAGTCAAGTAAGTCATAATTCATCGAAGTGTTATTTCATTTGTGATCGCAAAGCGAACTAGCGTGTGAAAGTTATTATCGCACATTTCTTTTTAATACTCCATAAAACAATGTGTGAACGTATTTAAAGATTATATAAATGTAATATTCACATATATATATTATTATATATATAACGAAAATAAAACTACACGAACTGAAAGAACCAAATCAACCAAAATTTTATCTATATTTGGCAATTGGTTCATAATGTTGAGAGAGGAAGGGTTATCAAATGTTTAACGCGTCTTTAAATTTTGTTCTTGGATTATTTTTAGTACATTTTATAATATCACATTTTTGAGAATGAAACATTCGCGTAATTCTCAACATGTAAAGTGAAATCGCGCGCAAATTTTTTCGCCCGGCGCAGTTGTCGGTCCTGTGTCGCCGGGCGGACAAGTACAGAGGTGATGATTGCGACGATGTTCGCCGCTACGCGACGCTGGTGTCGCGGCTAGCTTCCGGTGCATACGCCGTCTTCGTCGTTCAAGCGGCGCCGTTCAATTTTTTTCGGCGCGCGTTCTGTTTTCCGATTGCACTGGCGTTTCACACGCCGCGGCATTTGACGTCGACGAGCTTATCCTCGACGCCAGGATTCGCCGCCGTTAGCGCGCAATTTCTCCGCATCGTTTCTGATTTAACACCGGAAGTGTCCGGTACGTTGTCACGTCAGTCCTGACGTGTGTTTTCGGCCACTACCAGACGAAAAAATGGCGACCGCTGTGCCGTCACGATTCGCCGTTCTGAGTATCGAGGACGACGACTACAAGCCTAAGAAGACGCAGAAGAGCGCGACGACGAGTAAGACTAACGCGAAGAACAAAGGTGAGAAACCGAAGCAGCAGCAGCAACAGCAACAACAACAGGCAAACAAGAAAAAACAGAACAAAGTACGTATCGCGCAACCATTGTTGGTACGTTTTTGTTTTTGATTAGCCGGCGAAACGTCAAGCCGGATGCGACGTTATGGCGGGAAACCGGGCATTTCAAATCTGGTTTGCGGATTGTTGTGGATACAAATGTTATTTTTTTCTTTTATTTTAGGGAAAAAAGAAGAAAACAAGTAATGAAGATCAGCAGTGGGAGCAGTGGAAACAAAAAGACACGATGGTAAAATTTTGTAGAAAATTAAAAAATGATTTTGTTTTACCCAACGTTTTTACTTTTGTTGCAAAAATTTACTGTTTAAAAAGTGAGTGTCTTACTTTGATAAATACCTTTTTTATTGTTCAGTTAATTTAAAATTAATTATAAAAATATATATTAGTTGAGTTAGGAACTCTTAATAGTATTTATATAATTAGTTATATTTATTTTATAAGTTACTTTTATAATATGTTTCTCTGATGTTTTTCCAATTATAATGTCTTTAAGGCTGTTGAGGAAACATTTGAACAGGAATTGCATCAAGCCATCTTGCTGTCAAAACTGGCATATGAAGAACAATTAGTTAGTACAGCTAAGACGACAAAAGAACAGGATCAGGCTAAGAAATCTAGCAAAAAGTCAAAGAAGGCAACTATGTCTCTGGAAGAGTTCAATAACATGGGAACAAATGCAGCACCCTTAGTTCTAACGACAGATGAATCTTCGGATAATAAATCGAAAGGTGTGCTTTATAGTTAAATACCTTGGGAATGAGCAATTATGCCACCAAAGTCAAAGAAGATTCACATGTAACTGTTAACTTCTAATTGTAACAGAAGTGGATACAGAGTTCTTCGAGAGGGTAGAGAAGGAAACGAAAGACGAAATAACGAAGGGAAAAGAGAAAGATATTCTGAAGGCCAGGTTACATAAAATTGATGATGATATAACGTCCGCACAGTTAAGGGTGGAAATTGAAAAACGCGATGAAATAATCAGCCAATTGAGAAAAGAGGTAAACACATTAAAGGAAGAATTAGCACAAGTTAAAGAAAGGAATAAAAAACTTTATCAAATACTGTCACATGGTGAAAGTAAGTACATTTCTGTGCGATATTAGTTGATATCTACTTTTGATTGTACGTTGAGCACACTTGAAGATATTTATTTATTACGATATTTTCTTTACAGTGAAAGATAAAGCATCGGTATTAGCTGAAGTGGCAAAACTGCAAGAAATACAGGATGAATTGACGTCCGAAGTAGCTTCTTTGCACGCTCAGTTGGAACAGGAAAGATCCAAAACACGTACTTCTAGTACAGATGTGAAACCGTCTAAACAATCTGTATGATTAATTATGCAATTACACATCAATGTGTGTATTTAAATATTTTCAATCATTTTGCACTTATCGCGCGTTTCTTTTTTATTTCAGAACAAAAAAAGGCCGGCCAGTGAAAATGCCTAATTCGCTTCTTGCGGAAAACTGTACCATTGTGATCTACTAATTTTAATTATTAAGCAACAATCTGAGAGAAAAACGTTACATTTATTAAAAAAAAAAAATTTCGATCTCTTATATTTTGTACTTGACCGTTAAGTATAAGTTTAAGATATGTCCAAACAATAAGCGTTGTTAAAACATGATTGTGCATCGTAAAAATGAAATTACAGCCTAGCAGCTTCCAAGTTTTGTTTCTCTCAAAAGACTGTAAACTATATGTGCTTCATTTTCTTTATTTTTAGTTTTAATAAGTTAGAAATTTAAAAAAAAAATGGCGAGTTTCATTAAATACGATAGATCCACTTTACAAAACTGATATTTTGCTCTTCCAAAAGTTAAAAAATTTTTATAAATGTTTTGCATTATTTTTTTCTGGAAATACTCATGCCGACATACATCCGCGCGTGTGTAAATATATATATTATTATTAAAATATTTTGTAATAAACATATTCTACACACAATATGTGACTAGGATTATTGAACATTTCTACGTGTATCCCTTTTAACATTCTATATAATTATTAATAGTTCACATATAAATTTCTTGTCTAATTGTATAAAGGATTGATAATTTTATAATTTCTTATTTATTGGTATATATCTTCATATAATTTTGTTCTATAATATATTATTTGTATGTATTAGAATGTAATTGTAATTAATATACATTAAGTGTTTATATTTTAATTTGTGTATTTTATATATGCATAATTATTTATTGCGTAAACATTTATAAAGCAATTATACAAAGTCTAATGAAAACGTTTTTATCTACGTATAATCGCAAAAAACGTGTGAAGAGTAGAAATGCAACTAATGAATTATAATATGATAATACTTGTGGAGTTAATGTCACGTGATTTTTCAAATTTGCGAGGACTTCGCTTTACGATCATCTCTTTTCTCCAATTTCTGATGCTTTCCACCGTTCCGGTGGATGCCACGTCCATTCGCACGATACTAAGCTTTATCCGGATTATACGTGCGGTTGCGCATTTTTATGGAAATTTTTTTGTTCACTTTTTCTGCCTCGAGTTATTCCGCGTAAATTTTTTTCGGGCTCGCTCACGGCGACTTTAACATGCAGTTCGATACGTTACACCTCACGTTTCGATTCTTTCTTTCCCTTTTTTGTCCTTTTTTGTACGGCTTTGCTTCACATTCGTTCTCCCGTACGCGCGCGCAAAAAAAAAAAACCAGATTTCCATATTCGCGTTAGTTTTAGATACGGATTATATGTCTTGTACAAAAAAAAAACGGATAAACGCGGATTATCGTCTTGGTTTTTAAATAACTGATAAAAATTATGTGTTCGTGTGTAAAATTGAGTGAATTAAAGATTTACATGGAATACCAATCAGATATTAATCTTAGATTTCGCACTTTTAATATGAGCCGCTCATCGGCGTAAATACGGTGATTAAATACGCGGTGTCTTAATTTCGTCCGAGGAGACCGATATGTGGTAGCGACCTGTGCCATCGCGTACTCATCATCTTCTAACGGAGATCTTGACCAATAAAAGGGGCATTAGCGCTAAGTGGACGCTTCGCCTACTCGGTCATAGTTCTGTTTGCCACGCGAGAGCAGAGGGTGGAAAGTACAAGGGGTGATGTGTTTAGCGAGAGATATGACTGCTGCCTTATTGTATTTAAATCTATGCTCTTTTAAATGTTGACGTTTAATAATTAATCGTTAATTTTTACGGACGAGAAACGAAACTTTATTTTTTATAAGTGTTATTGATTTTTTGTGTTTTTAATTTAATTGTTTTATTCTTAATTGCATAACGTAATATGTCAATACTTTGATTAATGAAGAAATTTTTGAAATATCGACAGAAAATGTGTAAGATAAAAGTAACATTTCTTTCCAGGATTTTTCCAAAAAAAAAAAATTTATACGGTAATTAATTGCCGCATTACAGAAAAGTATCTTTTAGACTAGCGAGGTAATTTGTGGCGAAAGCACACAGATAGTTGTTCTCTGGGATAAAACGCGACTTTCTCGAGTCCATCGCTGGCGAGAGGAGAGAAAGACGAGCGTATTATAGGAGGGAAGGAAGAAAGGGTGAGAGAGTCAGAGGGACGGAGAAGAGGGAGACAACACGTCGAAAGGGAACACGGTAGATTGAGGGTTTTAGGACGCGCGGCGGTACAGGGGGCGACAGAGTGGGGATTCATTATCTGACAGTCTATTGTCATTTCTGCGGGCTGAGATTTTGCTCGGGCCAAGAGCACCGGCGCGGTGGCATTACTACTTGCTATATGTATATATAGGATGTGGCGAAATGCGATATCCTCTCTTCAAAAACACGTTTGTTGAAAAGTCGGCTATTTCAGTTGGCTGCATTTCCTTTTACACACGAGACGGCGACGCGCGCGTAGGTATCTCTTTTGCTTTTAAATTTATCCGTCACGCGACACGTATGTGTGAATTCAATGTTTTGTTTTGTTTTTTTTTTTTTTTTTTATATATTGTATATTCAAAAGAACACTATGCGAGAACAGTTACCTATTTATCGAATACGGGTTACAGAAACGTCGAAGCGACGAGAATGAAAAAGGCGAACGGAAAATTAATTCAGCGAACATTAGGCAGGAAAATTAAGGAGACGCGGTGACGACGACGGGGGAGAGACTCGTCACGATGTTATTCATCCTGCGTGTAGCCGCGGTGTCATTAACGCTCTCCCGCGGATACAGCGCACGAAATGTGTCGTCTGTCTCTGTATATATCTATATATATATATATATATATATATATATATATATAAATGTCAAGCGACAAAATTAAGACTAACGAGGAAAGTATTCGGAGAAGAAAAGGATCCTTGCCGAGGAACAGAAGAGATGGTTCCGTTTCTTCGTAGGATAATGAGATCGTGAGCGACGATCAGATCGAAAGATAACATTCGGAAGGATAGATCGTCAAACCTGCATTTTCATATAATTCGATTGAAAATCAGGAACGAGAATGCTCGACGATCGCGATTCGCGTTGTTGTCTGATTCTGTTTTGCAAAAGCAGCTCGTGAAAAAAAAAACAAAACAGAGGGAGAAAGAGAAAAAGAAATGGAGAGAAGGGTGTAATTTAAAGGGACGGAATTCACGTTGTTATATTTTGCGGGACATTTACGCTATTGAACGCACTAATTGAAAAACCCTTGATAAAACGAGGAGCTCGCGACAAGCTCGTACACGCTATATTTTCTTCTGATGTTACGCGATCTCACGCTTTTGCACAAGAACATCGATTTAAGACGATTTCGAAGTGAGCTCTTCAAATTGTGTGTACATTCGAGAATTCGATGAGGATTTGGAAAAGTTTATTCTCAAGTTTCTTTGCTTGTGGTAATAACAAACTTATTTCAGAGTTTGCGATATGCGTATATAGTAGCACACTCCGTTAAGTAAATCGAAATCTTTCTCATTAAAAAAACTGTCTCGCTACAGTAAAAAACTGACCTTTTTTTTCACTCTGTCACTTTTGCTTCTCATTCTTTATTTTTTTCTTCACTGTCTTCCCTTCTTATTTTATCTTGTTAATTGAAATAAAAAATGTTTGTTTGTTTTTTTTTTTTTTACTATTAACGTCGCCCCGATGTGTCGTCGTCGTCGTCGTCTACTAATAAATACAGTTTCTGAATGAGAGAACGAGTCAAGTCGTCGAGCAATCCGCTGCGATCGTTCGATATCTTCCTTTGAATGTCTAATATACATACACATATATATCACGAGTCGGATTACATCGCTCTAAGATCAAGTAGATCCTGCACGATGATATCAAACGATCAGATCGCATACATATTCAACGCGCTGTTTGTCGGCAAATTGTCGCCTAAGATACATCTGCAAGATACACCGATCGAGTCTATTGATATCTCGTGTTCATCGATATCTCATTATCGCACAATGACGATGATCTCTGTACCACGTATTTAAAGCAATCAAATCTGATTTTAAACAGTTTTTTTTTTTAATAGTGTTCTCTGCAAAGGTAGTGTCAGAAAATAATTAACGCGCGTGCAGCGAGCGCCTGCAGCGATACAGTCAAAAATCGTGATGAGGGGGTGTAACGCAAAGCGACGCACATATATATATATATATATACACACACACACACACATGCACGTGAAAAGATCATTGTCATCAGATTGCGAAATCGCGGTCGCGGCTTTGATTACCGTGCGAATTCGAATCGAAGGGTATTTTTACACATCGAGGCCGACTATCGCGGCATGTCAATCCGTCGATGTATGCGAAACGATTAAAATTTTAGAAGTATCGATTCCAACGCGGCGTTACCGTTGACAGACAGAGGGAGATCGTCAAAGAGCATAATAATTACTGCGGGCCCGCAGAGAAGAGGCTCAACCCTTTGTGTTCCGTAGTCATTTTACGAAAAGGGGCCGAACGCGCGAGCGAAGGGGGATACACCCCCTTGTCGCGAAGGGGTTCGCGGTTGGAGAGCACCCGTTTCGACCGCACCATTATGTAATTGATCCGGACGTGCGAGAGCGATCGTGTGCTCCGCACAGATCTTTCTTCTCATACAAAAATGTCGAAAGAGAGATAGAAGAGAAAGAGAGATGTGCGAGATGTATATCAGGCATTTTTTTTTTAAGTAAATTGAAACATTCATCCCTTCTATGCGCGCATTTATATTTTTAGGTCAAGCGACCAACTGAGAAGCTTAAGTCTTAACATAATTCGACAGCGCGGGCGCGGACGTCATTTGAAAAATCCGTTTGTTACGCGCACACCTTTTGCCATGTTCGCGAGCGGAGAGAGAGGAAAAATCGGTTGCATTGCGTTGCATCGCGCGATCCACGGATTTCCAAATTCGCTAGAGAATCATAATTAACAAGAGTCGATGATGCCGCCGTGTAACGATGGACACAATTAGAAAATTGTACACGCGCGCGGATCCCCAGCGCGATTTCTCCGCTACCCTTCTCATCAATCCGCGATACGTTACGATTAACGCGCGCCCTCCATTATTCATTTTCGTTTATATATTCGTCGGCGCAGTTCCCGAAAAGACAATCAAACGAGAATTATATCATCGGTCCACGGGATTCGCCCTCTCCTCACACAGACGCGCAAACGTACAGACACAACCGCGCGCCCCCGCGACGGTAGATATTTAATTAAAGTTGTTTGCGCGACCAAGTTCGGAAACTTCGGGGATAACTTACCGTCCGGGAAGCAGACGGGAGGGAGAACGGAGGCGGGGGGACCACATTTAATTGTCCTCGCATTAAATGCGTCCTTCGAGTTATGCTCGTCATCGTGTCACCGGAAGTCGCTATCGGGCCGCGCGTCACCGCGACGCGCTGTGAAATTTATTAATACCGGCGTCCAATTAATTTCTCCTCCCTCTATTCCCCTCTACTCCGTCCGACCAGTGAACGGAGATCGTTACGAATAAATATAATATAATATTCCATGCTTTTTCCCACACGTTTCGACGCGCCATATTT